ATGAATGACGGTAAGAAAAGCTACCCAGACCACGGGTGGCCACATGAGTTCCCCTGAAATATTGCGCTCGGCCGATTCTCTCTCATTCGAATTTCCCACGGTCCATTTCGCTCGAGAGAAACAATACCATACGATGATAAATCTTATCGATATATCGTTCTAATAACTTCATTTATATATCTAATTGAAGTGAGAAAAAGACAATGAAAAAGAAACAAATTAATAATTATAATAATAATAATAATAATAATAATAATAATAATAATAATAATAATAATAATAATAATAATAATAATAATAATAATAATAATAATAATAATAATAATAATAATAATAATAATAATAATAATAATAATAATAATAATAATAATAATGATCTTACGTCGGACATCTTTCTGTCGTGTATAGAAAAAAAAAAAGAATTGAATAAAAATAATATTAATGTTTGTCGAATTTCGTTTTTTTTTTACATATGATAACATATAATAAATCTGATTCGAAATATTTCAATAAACATTATTTGTATTACGTTAATATCTAACAATTTTGTCAACGACGATACAATGAAACTTTTGGCAGTGTTACATAAAAAAAGAAAAAAAAAGAAACCAAAAAATATTAACATAGAGATAATTAATTTATCTGAAATAATAAATCTAATCTGAAAATTTCGAATGAACAAATATTTTCTATCGGACGACTTAAAGTTCGAAGGAAAAAAAAAAGAAAATTAATAAAATCGAAAAGAGGAAATTCTTCGTTTATCTTCACTGGTTAGATATATCTATAGATTGATAAAAAAAGAAAAGAAGAGAAAAAAAAAACAAAAAGAAAAAATTAATCCAATGATCTCGAAGAATCGAATAACGTAGGATTCTCCCCTCGTGCGATAGTCGAACGTGCTTTAAGAAGCAACGACGACAGTGAGATAATGACCCAATTAGATGTCATCTACACGTGAGTCAGATCGCCAATTTATCCATGTCCGGTTACGGTGTTCTAATATATCTCGGTTTGTACGTCTCTCCGAGTTTGGTATAGAATGGTAAGAAAAGAGAGAGAGAGAGAGAGAGAGAGAGAGAGAGAGAGAGAGAGAGAGAGAGAGAGAGGAGAGAGAGAAAATACATCATTAGGTAGCTTTAATCGTGCAATCATTGCAAAGCTGCACCTGCGTGCTATATTTTAAAAGAATCGCAATGAGATTGTCGATGTACGAGGTACCTAAGTAATACATAGTACATATATATATATGTATATATACGTGATTTAAGTGTTTTTTCTTCACTTTCTTTCTTTCTCTTCTCTTTCCTGTTTTTCTTTTTTTAATTTCATTAGCTTTAAAATCTATGATAGAAAGAAATAGAAAGAAAGAAAGAAAAAAAAAAAGAAAAAAGAAAAAGAAAAGATTTTGGAAGTGATCGTAGCAAGTAAGAAAATCGTTGGCATACCATGAGAGAACTCAGGAATTTCATCGGCTGTAGTCGTTGCATGCTCTCGAGTTGAGAAAGGGAAAGAAAGAGAGAGAGGGAAAGAGAGAGAGAGAGAGAGAGAAAGAGAGAGAGAGAGAGGTTCATTGAGAAACGCTATGGCCTGGGGCATTCATACACGGTGAGACAAGTTCTACGGGTTTACACAGCATCTAAATGTATCTCACCGTACAAAGCGAGATCTTACTACGATAAATTTTAATTAATGATCATTTTAATTTGTCGTATTCGTTACGTCTTCTATTATTTTTATTACATACACAGTTATGTCGACTTTTTAATAATATCTTTAAGTTTCGATTAAATTTTTTATTGTATAATAATACATGGATAAGCAAATAATACGCGTGTATAAGACATTGTTCAAAACAATAATATCAGAGGATTAAATTATTGCCAGTCGGTCGTTGTTGTTATCTTTAACGAGCGACACACATGATTTCTGATATTTTCATTTTAAAAACAATGAACGACGTTATATGCTCATGTTTTTGTAAACTAAAAACCATTGCGCTATCTCGAACAATTGATTGTTACAATTGATGATCGGAAAAAATGTGAAGAAGCTATGTATAAGTTATATTATGTACTAGATATATACAAAGGGTATATAAAGAGAATTCCCTTTGTTTATATGTATATATATATTTTTTTTTTGTGTAAGATTAACATTCCTCAAGAATATATACATACAAAAACGGCACAATTATTAATAAGCGACCATCGATGTCGTTTAAAATAAATTCGTGTAATAAAGCAAATCGTATTGTTATAACTTAATTTCATTAATCTTTAATTAAATAATTAACCCTTCAAGAAAATCTTTAAAATTATTTCGATGATAAAAATAATTATATGAATTAACAAATAATAATAATTTTATCGTTATTAATTAATATTAAATATATAAATATTTAATATATATAATATACGTCATTTGTTTTAAGTATATTGATACGTAATTATATATCGAAATATTATAGAGAAACAATTTCCAGTTTTCAAGGTCACTTTTTTCTTTCTTCTTTTTTGTTTGTTTGTTTATTTATTTGACTTCCCTTCTATTGATTTAATCGGTGCTATAAAATAAGTTCACAGAGTGTATATAATAAAAGAATATTTTTCTTATCTATCAATAATGATTAAGTTATTTTCATCATTTCCAAAAGCATAGATCTAAGCTTATTCTTGCATTCTAAGTAAATGTTTGGATTAAATTTATTGATTACGTATATTTAATGTTACGTATGGTTATGAAATGTTAAAATAAAGTTTCATAGTTAAAGGATCATTCGTATTTGATAAATATTATACGATAATCAATTCGATCGTATAATATTTGACCCTCGACCGGTAAAGTACACCTCGCTATGATCTGCGCTTAGTAGCATAGATGATCTATGATAATCTATGTAGAGTTAAATAGGATGTATGGATATATGATGTACGTCCCAATGCGAAAAAACTTTCATCTTTGAGATCGAAAATTTGAACGTTTATAGTTTATCTATTACAAATAGACTTTTCTCCGTTATCTAATTAAAATTTTTTATCTGTTTTCTTTTTTGTATCTATATTCTTTATATTAAATTAGAAATAGATAATGAAATATCGACTCAAAAAAGCTCTATATACAAGATATAACATTAATAATTTTTCGCATTTATTCACTGATAAGATGTAATTGAATTTTTCAAACATTTCGTTAGAAATCAACCTTTTATAACGTGGTTACGATGTAACATGATAGAAAAAAGAAAAAAATTACGAAATAAATCTTCTGCAACACGATACTTTGAGAGTATGGTTCTGATGTAAAACAGTATAAAAAAAGAAGAAGAAGAAGAAAAAGAAAAAAAGACCAATCGAATAAATCATCAAATAGACAATTTTAAAATCGTCTAAGAACTTCCGTTTTATCCTTTATGATTATAATTGGGTATAAGTAATAAATACTATATAACTTTTACATTATATAATTTTGGTATGGACAAAAATAAATTAATTTTATAGAACGTTTAACGATGTGTTTACATACTTACAAAGGACAATCGTGAAATAGAACGACAACAATAATAACAATTAAAAAAGAAACAAAAAACAAAAAATAGAGAAAAAAAAGAATAGAAAAACTAAAGGCAACAGTTCAACTTTCGAATATGAGAATGATGTAAGCAGGAGATATCGATCTCAGGATATAATCACATTCGAGACGGAGATGACGTTGGCAAAGTTAAAACTGGTTCGACGAGACGCGTATTCTCGACCACCTAGTATACGTATATCCGGTCTGTGAACGCGGCACTCCGCAACTTTCCTACTTCATTCATCGACGCGTTCTCCGGTGGCCTTTGAAGGTTGCACCAAGCGGCACTGCAAGAATCGAGTATATAACCAAGACTGTGTGATCCAGCATGAACGAGAACATCGACCAGTCTTTCAGTATAATATAATAATTCCATCACAGAAAAAGAGTGATACTATTAACTCTTTCTATGTTTGTCTTTTTTTTCTTTCTATCTCTCTCTCTTTTTCTGTCTCTGATTCTAATAATAATCTGATAAACACGATCGAGCGTAATTTTTTCCTATAAAAGAATGATATTGTGATAAGGAAACAAAAAAAAACAAGAATTGAAGGATTTATTCAAATCATGAAATTCGATGTAACAATCTTGTAGTAACTTTCACCAAAGAAAGGAACACGTTCTCTCGACTTTTATAAACACTGCTTTACACATTGCTGTATCTATATATGTATACATGTTTATACACCGGATAAAGTCAAAGATCGAGCATTTCCTAAACGAGCTGACATGGTTGCGCAACTTTCCTTAAACGGAAATCTTACGATCACAAAAGGTCTTTTCTTTTTCATACTCCGTTAAAAAAATTTTGTAATCATTCGTACAAATATAAATATACATATATATATATATATATATATATATATATATATATATAATAATTATAAATACTCTTGTAATATTTGAAAAATTATACTAAAGTATTAGGATTACAAATCGTATAGTTGTCTTGGGAAAAAAACAATTAAATTAAAAAAAATAAAATAAAGTAAAAAAAAAAATAATTAGAAAGAAACACAGATTTGCATAAAGGAAAAAAGAAAATTACCATGGCAGTGAACGCGTTAACATTCCCCTCGTTATATCCCGTTAGCAAGGAGAATACAATGAAGAGTATAGAAATAGAGGGGAAGGAACGACGAGTAGGTAGAGAACGTCTCTGCGATCTCCTCGAAAATTCCATTCTCACAGTATCCTGTCTCTCTGTCGGCGGGTGTATAGCTCCATATATATATATATATATATATATATATATATACATATATATATACATACATATATATATATATATATATATATATATATATATAATCCAACAATATACTCAACATATATATGAGTAAAGAGTAAGAGAGAGTCAACACGTGTACTAACACAGAGAAAAGCACCCCGCCACGAAAGAGAACAGATATACATCAAGAGAAAGAGAGAAAGAGTGAGAGATATAGAACACACGTGTGTACGCGACGGGTGGCGCGGGCGGAGTGAAGAGGGGCGAGGTGGCGCCACGACTCTCGCGTGCCGAATACGGCGAGGGGCGCTAATGGTGGGGAGAAATGTTGAATGATCCATAGAGACTCTGAGAAGGGATTAGTGTGAGTGAGTGCGACTGCGGCGCTGCTAGTACAAGAAGTATTGTGATTGGTCGATAGGATGCGGCACGGAGGATAGATAGTGGGGGTTAAGCGGCTACACTGGCTTCGGAAATGGCCGCGGGAACGTAGAGAGCGCTTCGTCGGCCGGCGGACGACGACGACGACGAGGACGACGAGGACAACGAGGACAACGAGGAAAACGAAAAGGAAGATTTCAAGTTATTCGTTGTGCGCTTAATATTGCGTGCAAAATTACATTTCTCTCAAGTGGAGTGGACGGTAATCGTCATTTAAAGTTATAATGTTTTTATGAGAAGAAGAATTAATGTTCGACGGAAGGAGATAGGAGACGTATTGGTGAGAGATATTCGCGCGTGAGAGTTAAAGAGAGAAAGAGAAAAATATAGAGAAAGAGAAGAAGAGAGTAAGAGAGACAGAGAGTGAGAGAAAAAAAAGAGAGAGAGAGAAAGAGAGAATTTTACGTTGAAGAGAAAGAAAGAAATAAAGAGAGAAAAGACGCAAGAATGGCCGGCGACGACGGAGCGCCGAAAACGAACAATGAGATCTTCACTGAAGAGGGAGAGGAGGGAAGGGGTGCGTTAGCGCGGGGAGAACCGCATTCCAGAGTGGGCGGCATTCTGGAATGCGATCCACCCGGTAACAGGAATTCACCGAGCAAGCGAGCCTGCAGCGCCGCCGCCGCCGCCTCCGCCGCCGCCACTGTCTCCGACGAAGACGTGGACTGCAAAGATGAGGAAGAGCTTGATGAGGAAGCTGATGAAGAGGATGGTGGTGGAGAAGGAGGAGATGGTGGCGGAGGAGGGATAGTATACAGATATGCCATCCGAACCGCTACCAGTGCTATGTCTTTTATCGAAATCTGCCAGGTAATATATTATATATTTCATATATATATATATGTATGTATGTATGTATGTATGTATATATGTATGTATGCATCTGTACTTTCCAACCCCTAGCTTTTTTCTTTCTCTTTCCCTTTCCTAGTTTTGGCTCCCTTTGTCGAGGGAACAGAATCGATAGGCGATACTCGTGACCTCGAGTCAGTACATTTCGCGGTCACTCAAGTGAGAAAGAGAAGAGAATATAAGAGAAGAGAAAAGAAGGAAGGGGAAGAGAAAAGGGAATACAAGAGAAAGCACGAACATGCATGGACTACATACATACATACATATATATGTGGGCACGATCTCGTTGCTTGTTTTTCTTTAATTATTTGAAAGTTTTAAAAAGATATTGAATATAATGCAAAAAATAATTCATTTCTTTTATTATTCTTATTTCTTCTTTTTTTTTTCTCTCTTTATTTGTTTGCTCTTTCCAGATACGCTTGCAACATCTCTTCCCACAATTGGCGCCACCCCCTCGATATAAACTATGTGAAAATTCGATTGAATTTACTGCCGAATGTTTGGCAAACGACGTGATACGTTATCTCTTGAAGGAAGACATTTATCTAATATCAAGAGATCCGGTATCTCGCAGCATGCGGCATAACGTATACCGGATGCTGAACAAGCACAGTATACTCTTCACAAGTATGGTCAACCGTTTGAACGTTGTCCCTGATACAGCTTACGAAGCTTTCGTCTGTGTCGCCGACGAGTTGTTCCTTCACGGTGGCGTTACGTGGGCGAGAATCGTTTGTTTGTACGCTTTTATGGGGAGATTAGCATTATGGGCGAGGGATAGGAGGATGCACGCATTGAAAAAGAAATTACCTTTGTATGTTTCACGTTATATCGGCGAAGAAATAGCACACTATATTAAAGGATACGGATGGGTGAGTTTTAAACGCATCCCCTATCGGTCACGTAACTTATATATCCACGTAATACACATATCCACGTAATATCAGAGTCAAACAAACCTTGCTCTTTTTCATTCCTTTTTCTTTTTTCTTCTTATTACTTTATTTAATTCTTTTGTTTTTTTTTTTTTTTTTTTTTTTTTTTTTTAATATTTATTTTTATTACGAATTTTTTACGAATTGTTTAACAAGAGAATTAACATATTACCATTATACACAGAATGAGTTATAAGTTCTTAGATTTTTTTTTAAATAATCAATTAATTTATTTCGAGAATCGTTAGGTTAATCTTTTTTTCCTTCTTTCAGATTGTAACACTATAAGCCTAATAAATTTTGACCGATCTATGAACTTTTATCTCATCACGTATTATTTATATAAATATTTATTAATAATCTATAATACCTGTTATAATTGTTTTAATTTTTCTTTTTTCTTTCTTTTTTTTTTCTTTTTTTTTTTTTTTTTTTTTTAACGTTACTCTTTCAGGAACAACTTTGCGTAGAGTATCCAGTCGCCGAAGAGGTTAGCGGAGCAATCTGGAGAAGTCTCCTAATGACGGGTGCAACTCTTGGCTTGGTGACCACCATATTAACCGTAACTTCCTGATACAATGTCGCAAATCGTTGTTTAAACCAGGGTACGTTCCGGTCGAAACCCTTTTGCGTACTTATCTTTTACGAGAACGCGATCAAAAGGATATTCGAACGTGTTCTTTTTTCCCGCGCTTAGGACGCAACCCAACGAAACGAGCGTGACGCTACTACTACTTCACTACAACTACTACTACTACTACTACTACTACTACTACTACTACTACTATTACTACTATTTCTACTATTTCTACTATTTCTACTACTATTACTACTATCACCTTCACCGTCATCACCACTACTACTATTACTACGCTACAACTACACACGTATACAGACACATCTAACAATAGCAGAAATTTGTTGTTGCGTTTCAATGTTTTCCTTGTACAATTGATTCGACGAAAACGAATCGAACACGAATTTCAATGAAATCAACGAAAACCAATCAAAGAGACTTTCATGTCATTACCAATCGTCTGCCGCCATTATTCTTTCACAATTTTTTTATAATTTAATCCATTCGAAAAACTCTATGATATAAGAGTAAGAGAGAATAAGAAAACGAAGACGAAAAAAAGAACACTTAGAATTTTTATGTTTCTTTGATAAATGAATCTATTTCTTTTTCTTTTTTTTTTTTGTTTATTTTTTGTTTTTGATTTTTTCTAACGAATGTACGTGTACAGGCACGAACGCATGCACATACATACATACATTCATACATACATGCACATACATACACACCAACTTAGTTGATTTTTTATTTTTTTTCTCCTTCCTTCATCTTTATTTTTAATTTCTCCTTTTATTCCGAAAAAAGTTTTAATTTTCCCGTTCTTTAGTTATCACGTATCGTTCGCCAATAATGGAGGACATCTTTCCTCTTTCTTTCCTTCAACCCTTTAGCCCCTCCCATTCCTCTTCTCCTAATCGCAAAATTCGAATTTTGAATCTCAAATCTCTTACGATCAAACATAGAATCTCAAAATTACATTGAATTTAGGTAGAAGCAAACTATTTGTATTTATTTCTCTAATTTATTTTAGGTAGAAAATATATTAAATAACAAATTCTATGAAATAATAATAATAATAATGATGATGATGATGATGATGATAAAAATGATGATGTTAGATTGATTAAAAAAATTCGCGGCACGCTCTCTTTATTTTATTTTTTTTCCTCATTATTATTTTTTGTTCGTTTATTTTATTATTATTATTGTTATTATTATTGTTGTTGTTATTATTATTATTATTACTATTATTATTATTATTATTATTATTATTATTATTATTATTATTATTATTATTATTATTATTATTATTATTATTATTATTATTTAGTTCTCTTCTCTCTTGCATGAGAAAAAGAGACTTCTGGATATATTTTTTTTTCCTTTTTTTGTTGTTTTCTCTAGAAAAAATGGTGACCGCAAAATGTATACCGCATTTTATATATATATACATATGTATATGTATTTCGAATTTTATATATGTATGTCGATTGTTTACAACGCGCTCTCACACGAAAACGAAAAGAGGTTATGTACGATAATTGCCCGGTGATAATAGTTTTTTTATGAAGTAAAAAATAAAAAAAAATGAATAAATAAATAAATAATCGTTTATCCCTTTTCTTTTTTTTTTGCTTTTGTCTTTCCTAATCGTTTCGTTCGCCATATTTAAGAAATAAAAATGAACGATCTACATTTTTTCTCTATTAAAACTTATTTCAGTAAAGAACTAAAATATATCTATATATAAATATATAGATAACACACAAACGATCTATTTAATGCCGACACAAAGCTAAATAAATGAAAAATAAAGGAAGATCTAAAATAATTGAATCAAAATTTTCACTTCGTTTTGTAACAACAATTAATACACAGCAACGACGATTATTATTGTAAATTTTCTTTTCCTTTTTTTTTGTGTCAAACTTTAGGGTGTCCAATCATCCCATCGTTCTCTCTTCTGCGAGATAATTAGATTAGGTATTAAATTTGTTTCTAATTGTTTTGTTATAGACAGGGTACTAAAATTAATTAGGACATAATAATAATTATAGATTACACATAACAGATGGAACTTTCAAAAGTGATCGCAACCTTTCTAAGTTATTTTATCTTCTATCGATTGCTTTTGTTTCTGTTTATTATCTTATTTTTTTTTTCTTTTAATTACTTTTATCATCTGTAGTAAATGTTAAAATGGTTATAAGTAGTTAAGATATCTCATTTATAAATTCTTTACATAAATTTCACGAATAATTTTTCTATTTTAGTTCTAATCACTCTAATCATTCATCATTTATTCAATTATATTCATCGTTTTTCTTCCTCGAATATATTCCTATTTTGAGAATATATGACACGTTTATCTTCTTATTTTTTCTTATTTTTCTTACATTTTCTTTTTTTTTTTTTTTGAATAATATTTCGAAGATTCAAATTCAAATTCAAATTCAAATTTTTTTCATGTATTGTTGGTAAATAATTTGAAAAATGTATTATATCAAGCATTTTAAATATTAATTTGTTCTTTACATTTGAAGTATCTCTCTCTCTCTCTCTCTCTCTCTCTTTTTCTTTCTCTCTCTCTCCCTCTCCCTCTCCCTCTCATGCGCACACACACTCTTTCTCTCTCTCTCTCTCTCTGTCTATATATTAAGCCAGACTGGAAGGAAGTAATATTCGCGGATGTGTGTAATACACATAAATGTAGAGAATAAATCGAAGAATATAAAAAACACGTACTATGAAATAATTGTTCTGTTAATTTACATCACGATTAATTATTACCTTAGTTCTAATTAAATTTCATAACTGTACAGAAAACAATTGAATCATTTCATCATTGTTCTTTTGTTCTTTTTTTCTTTTTTATTTTCTCTCTCTCTCTCTTTCTCTCACTCTCTCCGTTTTTTAAAATGCATTATAGCAAGAATTAACAATCTTCTTTTTCCTCCTTTTTTATTTTCTTTTTTGTTCCTTGTATTTGTTTATTTGTTCTTTTTTTTTTAATAAATCTTCAAAAGTTTCTATTTTAATTTAATTCTGCTAATTATTGACAATATAACTACATATAAGGATGTGTGTTATGTTTATGCATTTATACGTGAATACAACTATGTATATGTAACTGTACAGATTGGAACTACTCTCTTTTCACGTTTCCTCTGATTATTAATAATATTAATTAATTTATTATTATTATTGTTATTGTTATTATTATTATTATTATTATATTTATTATTATTATAATTATTATTATATATCGACAATAAGTGATCATTGAATCACACGTTCATTAACTTCAAATATTTGACTAACGATGATCGCAACATATCGTCAGTATTACATACATAAATACTGTCTAATATATTAGATAGACAATAAATATACCAAGGTGTTTTTCCCTTTTTTTTTTTAAATCGGCTATTCAAGATTATACTTCATCTTCATTTTTTCTGTCAAAAATATGTTTGGCTTTGCACAATTTGTATCGATAAAGATATTTGGATAAAACTATTGCAAGTTTTCTTTCTGTGTATGTATATGTAAGGGTATGTTTCATCCCTTGTGTATAAATTATCCAATAAGTCGTGTATGTGTTTGCTTTGCCTCTTATATATATTATATATATATATATATATATATATATATATATATATATATAAATTACCCAACTGGTCTCTTCTGTATATGTATTTGTGTGTATGTTTGTTTTGTATATTAATTTATCCAAGTAAATATTACATAGTATATAATATAATTAGTATCATAGAGCACATAAACGCTGTGAAGAGAGAGCTCGTTTGTTACTGTGAATAAAATAAAGATTCTTACACACACACGCGCGCGCACACACACACATATACACACATACACACGCGCACACACACACACACACGTTCGCTACCATTGAAATTGAAGATAAAATATTATTATCAATCTATAAAAAATTAATAAAATTTTTACAAACAATACTTTTAATATAAAAATCTTCATTTATCCTGAATATTTGTTATAACAACTGAATGAAATTTCTTTCTAATACTCATTATAGGGGTGAGATCAGAGTCGTTTCTCTAAGAAAATTTTTAAAAGCCGAACCGATTAAGGAAATATAGATACTTTGTAGAATCCTGAATATTTAAGGTGTATTATTAATTTACTTTAGAACTATTATATAAATACAATATCAATTAATTTTCATTTTTAGATATTCACTTTTGAGAAAACAGATTACAGACAGATAAAAAAGAAGTTAAGGACTTCTTTTTTTTCTTTTAAGAACTTGGATTTTTTTTTTTGCATTATTTATAGTTAAAGGTTTTAGCTTCTACCTGAAAATATTAATTATGTTCTTAACAAGTAAATACCAAGCCAATATAACAACACTCCTACTAAACGACTAAAGTCATAAATTGTACGCAAGTAACAAATAAATTAAACGACTAAAGGTCGTCTACCGAACGTCTACCGTCTAGCGAACGTGTTATAAACTCTTTTTAAATTACTGTAATGATATATTGCTTTAGAATAGTTTCATTAAGCGATTTTTTTAATTGTTAATTAATGTTTCTTCTTATTTTTTTCTTTTCCTTTTTCTTTTTTAACGAGCAAAAACGATTCATTCAAACGTTTCAACATTATTTTTCTATCGCTCGACGTATTTGTTTTATGTTTGATTCAATATGTAAAAGACATACTTTCGTTTTTTTATTTTTTTTACGACAAAGACGCTCAAAACTTGGCCCCATTTTTAAAAACTTAGCAAATCTGTTCTTTTACCATGGATAATTAAGTTGGATATTGGAATACTTCAAAAGACGTTTTTTTTTCTTAAAGTATTACAAAAAAACATTGTTATATTTACTGATCTCGTTTCAATTGTTTTCAATATATTTTAATGCGATTTAATGCGATACCTGTTTGAAAGACGAACAAATCTTTCAATCAATCAATTATACAATTTGTAAAATTTATGTACACACACACACACACACACACACACACACACACTTCATGCGTATATTGTATTTCCATCTAGATAAATAAATTCAAATCCAAATTTGTTAATTAGAAAAAAAAAGAAAGTAAAAAAAAAAAAATAAAAAAAATATTTGTTAACAAATCGTATCGTCTTTCAAATAATCATTCAAAAACATTAAAATACATTAGAGATTATTTTGAAAAGTAAATAAGATAATCTCAGACTCATTTTGGCACGAAAAAGCCCATAGTCATTATTTATTTATTTATTTATTTTTATTTTCTATTATTCTTTTATCATTTATTATTATTATTATTATTATTATTATTATTATTATTATTATTATTATTATTATTATTATTATTATTATTATTATTATTATAATTCATAAATTCTTCTTTAGTGCACTCTCTCTCTTTCTTCCCCCCTCTCTCCCTCTTTGTCGTTAATATGATATGACGAGCAAAATGAGATTTGTATCTTTCTCCTTTTGATTATGCGAATCTCTCTCTCATAACGTAAAACCAACGCTCTTTTTATTGTATGTATATATATATATATATATATGTATATATATATATATATATATATGTATATAATAAAAATATTTCATTTTCGTTTGGTCGACAATATTATTACTCAGATAATGCCAGAAAAAGTAAAGAGAGTTTATCAGTTTGAATAATAATTATTATTCTCAAATATCTATTTATTGTTCACAATGATCCGTTCGCATTTCTTAGGTTGAAGACAATTATTTTCAATTTACAAAATGAAAAAAAAGGCCGTCAAAGATTTACATTATTATTTTTTCCTTATTCCATTTTGTAAATTCTACAATATAATATATATATACATATAGATATCTCTACATGTAAACATATATATATGTGTATATATATAATATAAATACATATATATGTATATATATATATATATATATATATATATATATATATATTATACATATATATATTATATATATAATGTATTTCTCATAATCGTAACACTGACGATATGATTGTTGTATTTTGAGCTAAACTTTAGAGTGGCAATTGTAGCCTGGACGTATCATTGTCCGAAATAGAGGAAATATGACTAACCCTCCCCCCCTCTCTCTCTCTCTCTCATCGTGTATCAATATCTTCTCAATGATCACGATGATGAAAATTTGAAAAAACTTCTTTCATTCTATCTCTCTTTTTCTCAAACAATTACTCTGAAACGAGTAACATCCAAAGAATTTAATTTAATTAAAGTTTCCTACATTATTTTTTTCTTTTTTCTTCTTCTTCTTCTTCTTCTTCTTCTTCTTCTTCTTCTTCTTCTTCTTCTTCGTCATCATCATCTTCTTCTTCTTTTCTCATTTGTAATCCTAAAACGTTTAAATTGCGTGAAACAATTCAATGATAGTTGATTGGAGAAACATGATATAGAGAAAATTATCTCTTGCAAAGATTCATTTATCTGATATCATATAATATATGTAGCATCAAAAGGATATATCGAAGAGAAGAAAGAATCATCGTCATCTAAATTTCACAAGCACAAAAATTCATCTTTTCGCAATAATATAATGTATATGCATTGTTGGATCACATAATAATAAATATAATAATGCACTTTTACCAATCTTCTTCAGTTGAAAAAATTTTAACTGAGTGCATATCTAAGGTCCGCTTGAATATCAGAATACAATGCCGTAACGGAGGCATATTTATCGCATTAACTAATGGTGTATAATAATCATGTGCAGTATACACAGCAAGCACGAATCAATCACGAAGTTATGTTACATTCAATCAATAGTTGTTGTTGTCGTTCTTGTTCTTGTTCTTGTTGTTGTTGGTTGTTGGTTGTTGTTGATGGTAAAATTCACATTTTTAATAAGTTCGAAATATATAATATATATATATATATATATATATATATATATTATATATCTGATATATATATATATCATAATATATATATATCGATATATACATATATATATATATCGATATATATATATATATCAATATTGTTGCCACGCAGATGGTGATAATTGTGTTTTCAAATATATGTAACACACGTACATATCACTTTGCCAACAATGCTCTACTACATTCTGTCTGTCTGTTCTCTCTTTCTCAGCTTTCTTGATTTATCACAGCTGGGGGCAGAGGTGAGAAGGAAGAGGGCTTTTTTTTGTTTACTTTACATCTCACGACAAAAAAAAAAGAAAAGCTGGGCATTTTTCATTCTTCTCCTTATTCCACGTAATCCCACCATTCCTTTTCATAACCTTCGTGCACATGCTCTAGAAGTACTTTTCTTCGACTATCGCAATATCTTTATAGAAAATAAAAACATTCAAGTTTAAGAATTTTATATATATACATATATATATATATATATAAATATATATATTCGAACGTATGACATGAATAAATTCGGTTGCATCTAAGTTGAATCCCTCATTTTCTAATCTCTCCAAAATTTTTTCCAAGTGTCCATATATGATCATATACAATATTTCTAATCTATTTGCTACAACTCCCGTGTAGTTAGGCGCGTGAATGATTTTCATCCAGCAATATTTGTAAAGTTTTCTCATCAAAATCCGAATTACGTATTAGACTGTAGTACATCCTTCAAGCTCTGGTTCACAAAATGAAATTTTATAAACTACTTTTGCTCTTTTTGTTATTACACTTTTATCGTATATACGCTATAAATTTATCGAGTCGTATCTACAGCTGAATTGTCTCATTTAAATTCTCACATCGTTATATAACGAATTTATGCACTTTTATAAATTTTCCATTTTATGGGTTAAATATTAAACTTCAATAAGGTGTTCAGAACACACACATAATAGCAGTGTAGAATTTAAACTGTGGCTACAAGTGGCTTCTTGTTAATCACAGTTATTTTCAATGAGTCATAACTTAATTCTTAGAATTAAAATATGTTTATACTTGCAACCGAACTTATTTATATTTCAACCTAATATATACAGGATATTTCATAACATGTAGGACCCACTTCATTAGTGGATAGAAGATAGTGAAAAACAATGAAAAATGTTCACATAAACATGTGTCCCATTTGGTCTTCCTTTTTCCAAATTATAGTCGTTTATACTTTAATAGTAATTATGGGCTGATTTTGGTTATACAAAGTGCTCAAAATGATGCTTGAAGTATTTCGACGTTGAGTAAATAATTTTCAAATGGCTTCACACATAAAGATTCATGAACTTTTTTTTCATTGATTTAGTGTCTCCTGTCCATCAATGAAGTGGATCCCACATATTACAAAACACTCTGTATATAGTACAATTATTTTTTGTTAATACAAATTATATATATATATATATATATATATATGTATGTATGTATGTATATATATGTATATATATATATTTTATATATATATATATGTACCTATATTTATCCTGAACCTTTTGTTTAATATCGGCAAGGTTCTCACTCGTAATATCTCTTTCGAGGTATTCAGAGAGGCATTCTGTAGCACTCTCTAAATCCTTTTGGTTGGCTTCAAAAATCACAGACTGGTTGGTTTTCCTCAAATAGTAGGCAAATACGTAAGTATACATGAGAGTTTGCCTACAGGAACATAAAATATCAACTGCTTTCTTTAAAAATTGTACCTAAACATAAAGCCGAAAAATGGTAAATGTTAAATAAATATTGAATAAGAGAATATAAATAGATTTTTTATTATTACACTGATTCACAAAAATTACCTCAATCCAGGACATATTATGTTGTTGCATTTCCTCCATTTTGTCTTTTACACTAGCATATAACTTGCTCTCAAACCTTAAGGACTGCATGTGATTCATATACCTATTGCAATAGAACAAATAGCGTTGCAAGGCAGACCTTGATTGATCTTGAGCAACTCGCGCTGCTTTGGCTTCTTCTTCGTCATATCGATTACAATTATACCAGCTAGATCCATGTGGTTCCCAAGGACCAAGGCATACCCAACAAAAGTCAGCTTTACAGTTCTGATTTCTGCATACCATATGATTGCAACCACCATCCTTTTCAATGGTAACATTACATTTTGGACATTCTTTCGTATTTGCTGCGATCCAATTAGAGGTCTCAGAATCGTCATCACATTTTTTGATCCATTTACGCAACAAATGACATTTTACGGGATCATGCCAATCTCCACCACAATGAAAACAAAATGTGTGACCACATTTGCATGTAACAGGTCTTGCTTCAACATACTGGACTTTGATAGCGTTATTACAATCTGGCGATGGACACCACCTTAATAACCTATTACACTAATAAAATAAATAATGTATATCATGAGTATTTTTAAGATATCAATTAGATACATTTTTTAAAGATATGATTCCTTACTTCAACAAAACTGTTTGTTATCAAGTGCTGATACTTCAATTTAACTTTTGAGTCTTTAACAAGTCGCATAACACTAGCATCATCAACTAAAATGTCACAAGCATGAGCAGCACATGCGATCGTTTGTCCGACACCTTCTTCCATTATTTTGGTTGTGAGATATTCACCCCAGCACCCGGTGCAAAAACGATGTCCACATTCAAGACCAGTCATCATCTAAATAATATATACATTTATTACATTTAAGAAAAATTTCTTACCAATAATATTTACCGATAACATATTACAATACAATAACACTTACAGAGGATGGTAAAATCATAAAACAAATTCCACATTCTTCTGTTCCATTTGCAGATGTTCTTCTAGACTGTGAGAAGGACAGATAACTTAATAATTTTTCTGCTTGTATATTCTATTACAATAAGAGAAATATTTATATATAATTATTCTTTTACCAAGGAATTTTGAGAGGACCAACTTCTATTTATCACAGGACCTTTTCTGAATGGATTAATGACACGTGCTTCTGCAAATAATTTTTCCTGATCTCCATCATAAAAACGTTCCATTAATTTTTCTTTGTCCCACTTAAAATGATTTAGCAAAATACGCGTTGTTGTTGCAGGTATCTATAAGAAATCATTTATTCAAACACACAGATCAAATAATATTCAATGAATCGATTGATTAATCTAATTTTATAAAACATACTTCAACTACAGTGTTGACCTCTTTTATAGAATCAACCATGTGTTGTACAATTTCTTCTGTGGATAAAATTTCAAATGGATATTCGTCGATGTCGGTAGCTCGTTCCCGTTGATTTCCAGATTCTATTTCCATAGCAAAATCCACATCATCCCCGCTGGACTCGTTACCAGAGTCAACATCGTCATAGAGCGTTTCCTCCTCGGAATCCATATTTTTACAAATACAGCAAGTAGTTCCAGCAAGTGTTTAAAACACTGCTGTGTTAACCTTGCGTAATATATACTGCACCTATACAACAAACATCTTTGAATTAACAAACCGAATTGACAAATCTTTGAAAACGTTTCGGTAACGTATGCATTACTACAAAATTAATAAAAATAAGAATTTCTATTCCTATAATCAGTTCTATATATAAAGATATATATATATAAAAAAAAAAGGCTAAAAGCAATGAGAAAAATCACTGGATTGAAAAGACCGAAACAATTTTTACTATATCCAAATTTAAAGATGAATTTTCGTAATCTATATACATACATACGTCTCTATTTCTTTGTTCTAGAAAAAGATTTTTAATCTAATAAATAAATTCAATGTTTTAGAAATTCGTAACACCTGTATCCGCGAAACGATTGCGGAGAACAAGGTGAAAAAACAGCTTATGTTTCAGTACATGACGTCATTATTTTCTACTTCCCGAATAAAGCGTCGGACATATCTCATGAGATTTTATATATATTTCACTATTAATAAATTTTCTTTTGTATTATTCACTCGCGGAACGAAACTAAAACTTTGTCTTTAACGTGGTTAAACAAATAAATTTGAAAATGCTTCGATAATAAGGGAAGTGAAAAATAAAATCAGCTGCCAAAACATCGAAGCGCTCTGCTCCGGCAGCTGATACACCGAACACTGCTGCCACGGAAAAAACGATGAATAGGTCGACAATTCAACAACCAATCACAATTTAAGATCGTAAGCGTTTGGCCAATAACGATAAGTGTTTATCGAAGATAGATATTTCCTATCGTTTGTGGACTCGAAAAAGAGAGAAAGAGACAGAGAGAAAGATAGAAAGAGAGAGAGAGAGAAAGATAGAAAGAGAGAGAGAGAGAGAGAGAGAGAGAGAGAGAGAGAGAGAGAGAGATGAATCGTTCTCGAAATAAATAACCTTTTGTGAACACCAATAGCGATCTATTTTTTAACGACGAAAATCTTCCCAAGGATATTTCTTTTATAAATTCATCGGTCTTCGAAGCTTTGGTATATATATATATAAAAAAAAAAAAAAAAAAAAGAAAGAGAGAAGGAAAAAAGAAACAGAAAAATAAAATATACTATAACAAAATACAAGCAGTTCAGAGAAACGAAATGAATTAATTAGTGGACACGAAGTTAAACCGATTCGATTGTCACTAAGAAATAGAGAGAAAAAAAAAAAAAAAAAAAAAATATTCAATCGCAGTAAACACAAGGAATACGAAGAGAAAAGAAATTAAAAATAATTCTTCTTCGTCATTATTCGCTCGCGTAAGAAAAAAAAAAATAAATGAATGAATAAAAATAAAAAATAGACACCGCAATGTCCTGATAAAATTATCAACGAATCTTATCTTACATCGATACACTGATTATCATTGTTTGTAACCTTGAAATACACTTTGTAAAGAAAGATATCTCCCAATATAATTATTTTCTATAAAAATGCAATAATGAAATACCACGCACAACAAGAAATGAATTAAACGTTTGACCAATGGCAATTCGATTCGTTTTTTTTTTTTAAATAAAATATTATATATGTAGGTTACACTGCGTTAAAACACACAACTCATGATAATCACTGTATGATATAAACGAAGTCTAAAAAAAGGACCTTGAGAGAGAGAGAGAGAGAGAGAGAGAGAGAGAGAGAGAGAGAGAGAGAGAGAGAGAGAGAGAGAGAGAGAGAGAGAGAGAGAGAGAGAGAGAGAGAGAGAGACTGCGTTAACCTATAAAAAATAAACCAAACGAAGGTTTCAAAGTTAGATAGAATTTCGAACCAAGTTTTTCATGGAAATAATAATAATAATAATAATAATAAGAATAAGAATAATAAAACGAAACGGAGCGGTAAGAACGAGCGAAATTAGTCGAAAAAAAGCCGATAAACCACGATCGATCGGTAAAGTCGAACACTGTATACAAACTCGTTCAGTTTATCATATCGATGGTGTTAACAAAAATTACAAGTTATTACGATTTATTTATTACGAAACACGATGTGGTTGTCACTTAACGAGGCAATAGCACAGATACGACGATCAGACGATGGCCCGTAAGAAAGAAATATTCATCGAATATATGTTTTTTTTTCTTGAAGAAGTAAAAATCGACATATTTCTTAGGCACTTTTACTTGCTTTTCTATTTCTTTTTTTTTTCTTTTTCCCTTTTCTTTCTTTCTTTCTTAAGGAAAGAACTTGTAACACTTTGTCACACTTTTAAACGAAGGAAATATATTATATACTCGTAACGGTTGTGCACATCGTCGAGAACGGTGCTTATCCGCTATCGTTTGGTATATAAACATATGCGCCCCTCGTCCATTGCACTCGTTCTTTCTCGGTCGTGTTCGACGCACTCTCGGAAGTGGTAACTATGAGGGAGGGGGAAAGAGGGAGAAAGAGAGAGAGAGAGAGAAAGAATAAAAGAGATAGCAATAGATAGAGAGATAGAGTAAGAGAGAGAGAGATAGAGAGAGAGAAAGAGAGAGAGAGAAAAAGGGCAGCAGGCTACAAGTCGATCTGGAACGCACCATTTACCATGAAGGAAGGAAGGAGAAACGAGCTTATAGCTCAACAACTGCTGTCATGTTCATAACGCTTATGTGTGTGATTTTCTGCGTGTACGTGATAGTGTGTTATGTTATATATGTATGTGTGTACGTGCGTATATCGAAGGAGGCACGCCGAGGAAAGAAGACGAGTTTTTCTTTTCGTATCGAGCGAACGAAGCGTTCCTTTCTTTCTTTCTTTCTTTCTTTCTTTCTTGCTTGCTTGCTTTCTCTCTCTCTCTCTCTCTCTCTTTCTCTCTCTGTCACCGTCACTTGTACACTATACTACTCTTCTTTGGTTTTCCTTTGTCTCTTTTGTCCTTTTCGTCGTTCTGATTACTCGTCCTCTTCCCTCCTCCGCCTCCTCCTCCTCCTCCTCCTCCTCCTCTTCCTCTTCCTCGTTCTCTTCCTCCTCCTCCTCTTCCTCTTCCCCTTCGTCCTCCTTTTCTTGTTTTCTATGAACGGGGATTTTCCAGTTTTCTTTTTTTAGATTCTTCTTTCTTTCTTTTCTTTGGTTTCCTTTTTTTTTCGTATTTAGGTACAAAAAGAAGATAGATCGTAGACACGTAATTTCGCGATTAAACTATTCGTAAAAGAGATACGACTCGTCTGGTGATGGTGATGATGGTGGTGGTGACAGTGGTGCTGCTGTTTCTGCCGCCGCTGCTGCTGCTGCTAGCAGATACCACGAGAGACGATCGGTTGCCGAACGGTGTCGCGCTCGTCAACCGCCCAAACTTTTCTTCTATGCCGCTTGAGCGCGCTCACGGCGCACAGCTGACGGCCAAGGGCGTCGCTATTGAGGAAACATCCCTCAATATAATTTTTTTATATTTTTATTCTCTACTTCCGACAAAATTTCAAACGATATATTACTTTTTTACCTTCTTATTACTCAATTTTTTCCTTGTTTTCATAATTTGTGACACGCTTCTTCGCTTTTTTTTTCTTTTCTTTTCTTTTCTTTTCTTTCCTATCTTTTTATTTTTTTATCTGATTCAGTGTTATAGATTAAAAATAGAAATAAAAATATATATATATATATATATATATATATGTTTTTGTAAAAAATAAAGTCTATAAATATAACAGGTATCATAAGGTTATAATAGAATTGAAAGTAAACGTGATTTTCTCGAATGAAAATATTCTTCTTCTCTCAATAAAAGATAATCTAATCCTCTATGACCAAATTTCTTTTTCATTTCCACGAAAAAAATTATATAGTATATTCATGTCAGAGTATTATGTATATTATTATAATTGTATCACACTAATTGTATGATTTATATTTAAATAAAATATAAAAATAAAAACCGAACATGAAGTAACGATGAAGTTTGAGTGGCAATAAAATTGATAAAGATTATAGATATCTGAATAGACATATCTGTATGACTTTGAAATAGTTTTAAAGAGAATTTACAACAAAAAAAAAAGAAAAAAAAATTCTAAATATAACTAAATAAAACCAAGTGATTTTACTTGTTTACGCCAATGCGTCGTCGCGGGCATAGAACAGAGAAATCATGGAGCTTTTGTTAAGTCAGGTCCAGCGTTATCGTGTAATGTCAGTTTAAAGATTACAACTATTATGTTAAAATGAACCCGACAAGTGTTAAGAACTATTCGATTATAGAAACAATTGGTGCGGGTACTTATGCGACCGTTTATAAAGCAAAACGAAAGGTAAGAATATATAATTTGAAGTTCGAAGCTGTGGAGCTTCTTCTGTTAAGTCAAATCCCGCGTTATCATGATAATGTTAGTTTAAAGATTACAAATTTTACGTTAAAATGAGCTGGAACAAAATTGTTAAGGACTATTTGTTTATTGAAACAATCGGGTGTAAGTAGTTATGCGACCGTTTATAAAGCAAATATAATTTGAGGTTCGGAATCGGAGTCGTCTCTTTCGCAAGCATTGAAAACATATGATTTCAGGAACGTACATAGGCAGATGCGTTAAGGAAGTTTCATTTGTTTTCTTTAAGATTTTTCGAATCTTTTTTCTTCAGATATTCTTGTCTTTTTTTATATTTTTTTTGTCTTTTTTTTTGTTTTTTTCTATTTACAACTTTATTTCATTTTTCACAATTCGACATGAGATATGACATGCGTTGATCTTATCGTAAATCATTCGTGTACGCACGAATCGTTCGTCCGTGTTTGTTCTTTTTTGTTTTTTTTTGTTTTTTGTTTTTCCACTTCTTTCTTTGTTTTCTCTTTCGAATAAAAATTATTTTTAATGATGACGTATCAGACGTAGAGATTGAGATCGATTATGTTTAGAAAAATTATTAATTTGGTGAAATAAATAAATAAATAAATATATATATTTCTATATATATATATATATAAACATGAATGAGAAACGTATTGAAGCTAGTATAAAATAACTATATGTGTATGTAGGTTATTAGTGTTTACCGATGGTAATATTTATTGAGCTATACCAATATCGAAAAGATAGTTGATGTGTATCTTGCGAATAATCGCAATATCTAGAGATAAAAATTCAATGTGAAAATCTTAAAATTTTTTTAATATACTCATTATTCCAAGAATTATTTATTAAATATATATATATATATATATATATATATATATATATAGAGAGAGAGAGAGAGAGAGAAAGTGAGAGAGAGAGAGAGAGAGCAAGAAAGAATGTTAATCTAAATATCAACATTATCTCTATATCTGAAAATAAAATTCGACGAAACTCTCAAGTAGATCGTACCCTTCAAATAAATAAAAATTTTTTTGTTTTTAAATATAATCGATATTAGAAATAATTATTTATTAATTATTTATTTAATAAAAAGAAGAAAAGAAAACGAAAAGGAGAAACAATTTTTCTTAGGAGGAACCATGTGATATCGTGGCAATAAAATGTGTGAACACATCGGAGTTGTCAAACTCGGCGATCAACAATCTCATGACGGAGATAAGTGTATTGAAGATATTAAATCACGAGCATATCATAAAAATGAAGGAATTTTTCAGTATCGAAAAGTGCGTTGAATGTCTATTTTTTCATCTTTTTTATTTTTTTTTCTTTCTTTCTTTTTTTTTTTTCTTTTTTTTTTACGTAAATCGAATAAATTAATTAAATTAAATTATATCGAATTGTTTGATTAAAAACAAAAAAAATATGGTTACGAATCCGACGGACGAATATAAATGAAATTAAATTTTTATAAATTATATTTTATTTCTACAATATATTTTACTTCAATTTATTTTATTTTATTTTATTTATTGATAATAATTCATTAAAATAATTTTATTGTGTTTTATATATATATATTACATGATGGGCCAAAAGTTCTCAAATGATTTTAGACATCGATTAATCTTTTTCAAGACTTTCTATAATAACATTCGTTTTTTTCAGTACGTAAAACTTCCAAACCTAATCGAAAAGCTTAGAAGAAATACACGAAAAGGAGCAATTGATTTTTTAAATCACTTCGGAAATATTGACCCATCTAAAAATTTTCAATTCATTTTGTATTATAAATATCGTTAAATTAAACTAATTAAAGATTTAATTTAATTTAATGTAAATATATATGTATTTATATATTATATATTAATTATATATATGTAATATCGTGAACTTGATTCATTTATCGAAACTTGATCTCTTATTTTTCCTTCGAATGTAGACGAGTATACATTGTAACGGAGTATTGCGATGGCGGTGATCTTTCAAAGTATATTAAAAAGCATGGACAATTGCCTGAAAACATATGTCAAAGATTATTACAACAGCTAGGTTTAGCATTGAAATATTTGAAAGATCAAAACATCAGTCATATGGATTTGAAGCCGGAGAATTTGTTTCTCGTGATAAAACCTTATTTGAAACTTAAGCTTGGAGGTTCGTTTAATAGATATTCTCTCACATACATTTGTCAATTTATAATTCGGATTGTTCAGAAAGTTCGCGTCGATTCTTCGATATTTATTTGTGTACTAAAACACATCAGTAAATATGTCTGTCTATCTGTGTGTGTGTGTGTGTGTGTGTGTGTGTATGTGTGTATGCAAAAATAAAAATATAAAAAAAAATGATAAATAATTTATCAATATATATGTATATATTACATATTAACACACACACATATATATATATATAAACAGTTTTATGAAAAATTTGATCTACTACTTATAATTTTTTTTGAATTAAGCGATTCATTTAAATTTGCGTGTTTCATCGAAGATGAAAGACCATAATATGAACTTTCCGGACAATTGTAGATATCGATTGTAAAAATCGATCATAAGCATCAATCTTTAATTTATTTCGTGGATTGCTTTTTTTTCTTCTCTATTTTTTTTCTTTTTTCTTTTTTCTTTTTTATCATTACAGATTTCGGTTTCGCACGGTACACTAATATCGAATTCATTTATGAATTACGTGGGTCATTACGTTACATGGCACCGGAGATTTTATTAGTTAAAAAGTACGACGCTCGTACAGATCTTTGGAGCGTCGGTGTGATCATGTATGAGTGTCTTTTTGGAAAGCTACCTTATTCTGTTACTAATTCTGTACAATTGAAGAGGCTAATGATAGGACGTCGTCCAATCGAGGTGATTGTACGAAAGAGATTATTATTATTTTTTTTTTTTTGATCTTTCTTTTGCTGGTTTGAACGAAAAGCACAAAACAAAAAAAAGAGACTAACAATAAGATCGAAAATCATGATCCATCTATTCTGGAATTGATTGACACATTGAATTGTCGTATGACCGGCACTCAATTTTGCAGAATTTTTTTTTGTTCGTATCTTTTACTAAGATTTTTAAGATTTAAACTTTGTCATCCAACAAGATTAAATGTCTAATATAAAAGAGTATGAACAATATAAGAATCGAAAATAACTGGCACTCAACTTACAGTTTACAGAATCTTTTTCCAAGATATTTCTGAAATTTTTTTTGTCATTTAAAAGATTAATCATTTATTATGGAATAAGATCTTAGATCTAATATAAAAATTATGACAATGAAATCATCTATTTCTTTCATTTATACAAAAAGTTATAACAGATATCAGATATCAGATTAAATACGTTAAACAATGTGTATAAATATAAAATATAATAAGTTTATAATTTTGCGATCACGTTAATTTTAACGATAGAAATTTGTTAAAGAGTATTTTTTTTCTTTTTCTCTTTTTTCTTCTTTTATTTATTTTTTTTTTCTTTTTTTTTTTATTTTTTCAACGTTAACATACAGATTCCAGAAGTGCCTCCTATATCCGATGAATGCAAGAGTCTTCTGTCATCGTTGCTGAAGTACGATCCTGAAGCTCGCATAAGTTTCGAAGATTTCTTTTCCAATGCGTTTTTGGACTTGAAACATGCACCAAGCAAGGAAAGCTATCAGAAAGGTTTGGAACTTGCACAAGAAGCTGTCAAAAAGGATCGTGAAAAAGAATCACAAGAGGCATTCCATTTGTATTGTGAGGCCTTGAAATATTTTATTCCATTATTGATAAGTAAGGATTATTTTAACTTTTTGAAACGCGTGTTTACATTTTTTTTTTTTAATAATAATAATTTTATTGCATCCTATTATTTTATTGCATCCGATAATTATTTTATTGCATCCGATAATTTTATTGCATCCCTAATTGTTGTCCGTTTGGTCGTCAGACGACAGTGATTCGGAAAAAAAAGAGGCTATGAGGTTACACGTGAACGATTATATAAATCGAGCGGAGGAACTCAAATTACAATTTAAAGATAAAGAAAATAGTCAGGAAAAGAAAAGGGTTAACCAAAAGGTAGAAGAGACAGAATGCGTTCCAAGGACATCGTCTGAAGGGTTGTCATCCCCGTTAAATAGATTCCCGGGACATTCTTTTCACAAATTACGTTCGTATTTTATGATATATTATATATATTTAATATAAATATTTTTTCTCAGAAGAACAATATATATTCATATATATTTATAGTATATTTTTATATACTGATAAAAATTTACATATATATATATTTTTTTCTGAGAAGATTCCAAGTATGCATCTTGTTTTGTTTTTTCTTACATCTATATCATGCCTACAATTTTTTCCATAAAAATTTCTTAACATTAGATTTACGGAAGTCATTAATTTGACGAATTAAAAATATTTAAAGTTAAAAAAAAGTTGTAAATATTATTTCTCATCAATTTATTTTGACATTGATCGATTTATTACTAATAATATGAACTAATATTATAAAAAATTTATCCGCGGATATAACGAATAAAAATGAGTATAAAACGAGTAAAATCTAGTATTAATTTGTGATTTTTAATTTATTAACAAACGATTTGATTTGATTTTCTTTTTTCTTTTTTTCTTTCTTTCTTTTTTTTTTTTTCTTTTTTCCTTTAATTCAATGCATTAGGAATTCTCAGCAAGAGTACACCGAGTATGGCCGATGCACTCGACATTGGAGAAGTTGGCGTGCAATATCTTTCTGAGGGCAATTACGTTCAAGCTTTAGAAAAATTTCAATCGAGTTTAAGTGTCTTGGTACCGTTGTTGAGTAAAGAACCACTTGGCCATAGAAGAGATCTGCTTCACGAACAGGTGATTTTGTTATTCATTTATTTTTTTTCTCTTTGTTTATTTTGCTTTTATTCTGTTAAAGTATATAAAATTATCCAATCGTTATCACACAGGATGTTGTGCGAAAAGTTCTTAGATGATTTTAAAAATTTAATTATAATTAATAATATTCTTTGAAATATTTTTAGGCTTTTCATTTAGGCCTATAGTATTACATTATCAGAGAAAAAGAAATTAACCAGGAATGTTTCGAAAAAGATTAATCGATTTTTAAAATCACCCAGTAACCCTGTAGTATTGTATATATTAGCGCTTAATTTTGATAATATCAATTTTCTTGAATTTTTAATATTCTATTTTTTTAACGATTTTAATTTAATTATGTACTTATGTGTGTATGTGTGCGTGTTTGTGGTGTGTGAAAGAACATGGTTGGTGAAACACATTACTTTTGCATAATCAACATAATGTATTAAGTAATCTTCCATAAAAAATCGTATTTCGCAATGTCATATTACATGAAATCGGTACTTTCGCATATATTCAAAGAAACGTAAAAAGTATATAAGTGATATAATATAAGGTAAGTTTCGAAGATAAATCGATGATAAGTATAATAAGAAATACAGTGAGAAGAAAAAGAATACAACGATGTCTATTTGTCCTTGACCTTGCATAGTAGAGTATATATCATCAATGTTTCACAAAAGAATCTTTGGAGAATATTTTTTTATTAAATATTTTTCAATTTCTATTCTTTGTTCTTTTTTATTTTTCCTTTTTTTTTGTTCCGATGAATATTTTACGCACGATTAATATTTGTAGTAATATTTATTAGTTTATAAATATTGAGATACAAGATAAAGTTTAATCTTTTTATTATAGTATCCCCAAGTATAAAACAAATATATTAATATAATATTATATAAAATATTATTTTAATATATATATATAACATTATACTAATAGTATATTATCCCTTCTCTCTCTTCTCTCTCTCTCTCTCTCTCTCTCTCTCTCTCTCTCTCTCTCTCTCTCTCTCTCTCTCTCTCTCTCTCTCTCTCTCTCTCTCTCTTTCTCTGTCTCTGTCTCTCTCTAAAAAAAAACATTATATTATATAATAAATATTTAAATATATATATTATTATATATATAATATATTAGATTAATAAAATATTAGTATTTCATATTCTCGAGAAATCCTTACAAATATTTTTCAAATCAATACAAATCCTTTTTAAAATAAAAAAAATCCTAAATTAAATGACGGGGCTCAAATTAATATAATACAATTAATAATAATTAAAACACATAAATTATTAATTATTACCTATTAACAGGTACAACTTTGGATGCGAACGGCCGAAAGTACGAAGATTCTTTTATCAGCAAAAAATATGAAATCTATCCAACGTGACTCTGACTACTATGATTGTATAATACAATAAAAAGGAAAATAAGAGACGATATTATAAAAAAGATGACATACTCTTATTTTTATTAGATATTATGTGTTATTATTATACGTTTTTTTTCTTTAAATTTTTGTATTAAGACTGATTATATATATATATACACATACCTATTTATACGTGTCCTAGTTTCATTTGTCAAATTGTAAAACTACAAGCCTATCTTGTAAAACTTACAAAGCTTAAAATTTTTATTAAAAGCTTAAGAAATCTCAAGAAAGTGTAATTTTTTAAATCATCTGAAAACTGTTTCTTATTTTTTATCTTAACTTACTTCATCCCGCCGTAGTAGTTAGTCGAAAAAAGAAAAAAAAAAATTTTCGTTCTTCGCATTATTATGCGTACACAAAAGAACGTTAAAATCTAATGAGAATGATCCAGAAAATTGTTTTATATCTTTTTTATTTATCTTTCTCGTAAAACGATAAAGCTTGTTCCTGGAAAAAAAAGGAAGAAAGAAACAGAACAAACAAACAAAAAAGAAAATATAAACAACGAAAATATATTTTTTAATGTATTTTTATCTTATAACGATATTGTTAATAGGTATTAATAAAAACAGGCTTGTTGCATTGAAGTACCATTCCTTGAAAAAATAGAACGACAAAATAATAAAACGAAAAAATAAATGAATTATTTGAAAAAAATCATGCTAAAGTGATTTAACTAATCAATAAAATTAATGAGTTATGATAAAATACAGCTTTTTTATGCATCATTGCTCTCAAAAAAAAAAAAAAAAGAGAGGAGAGAAAAATAAAAACAGTAAACCAAATAATTATAAAAATAAATCGTAATAAATTATATTATAAAAAAAATTCTTGGAAAAATTCGGAAGATTCTAAATGGTCCGAAAAGAAAAGGAAAAAGAAACTTACACAACAATGCTTTACATAAAACATGCAAACCAACCGATACTCACGAGAAACCGACGTGACCATACGCGTGACCATGATAATTTCCGTTTTATATTTAAAACAGATGAAAATATTTCAACCATATGTCAATTTCGTTCATATATATATATATGTATGTATACGTAAAATTATATGAAAGAATTATATATATAAATTATAATAACTATACTCACTTTCTTTACTTTTTATTGGAGAAGACTATAATTTTTAAATAATTCATATCTTAAAATTTCAAAACATCTCAAAACGTTTTGTTATGTATATATATATATATATACATATATACATATATATATATACATATACATATATAATATATATATGCATATAAATTAAACCACTTCCATAATCTCATCGACTAATATACGTGCATGTACATAATACTTATATAAATTGTTTGCTTCACTTACTTGATATATTCCACATGTTTATAAGTACTGTACATAAATATATATATATATCTATGAATATTAATTATATATATTGAATATTAAACATATATATAGTATTCAAACAGGATAATAGATTCGAAACATAGCTTATTCAGTGACGTCATGACTTAGACATGAATGTAATTACGTTGATAGAGAGAACGTGATAGACACCTTCCAAAATTGGCAATTCGAATCATTTATATGGATAAATAAAAGTCACACGACGTCTACTTTTTTTTTCTCCTAATTCTTTTTCTACAAATTACTTCATTCCCGAAATACATCGTAATATATCTCAAAGAAAAGAAAAAAGAAAAAAGTATTTGTTGTGTGTATATATATGTATACACACATACACATATACCTATACATATACACACCCATAGTAAGAGAGGGAGGAATAGAGAGAAAAAAAAAGAAAAGAAAAAAAGAAAAAAGAAAGAAAGAAAGAAAGAAAGAAAGAAAGAAAGAAAGAAAGAAAGAAAGAAAGAAAGAAAGAAAGAAAGAAGAAAACTACAAGATCGGAGTTGCTTAAACGGAAGAAGATGGCGCTAGTGAAACCACATCACCCCCTGCGATTTCCGGTTGAAGCACGTGATATCTAACGGTCGCCGTTGCTCCGAAGCGTCATGGAAATTTCCATTCTCGAGCAACAACGCAACACAACTAAATCGCTCCCCCTATCTCCCCCTCTCCTCCTTCCCCTTCCTCACTCTAATCCCTCCTATCCCCTCTCCACCAGTAACCAATGTACATAAGCCCCCACTCCGTTAAGGCATTACGCCATCGGTCGGTCCACCTCCATCCTACGTTTGATCGCCAATCAGATTGCGTCTAGTTATGTACAGACACCCCCACCACTCATCGAAGACTGTCATAAATCCCCACTACTTGATGATTTTACGCGCTTTCGAGTGACTTGGCAACGTCGCAACCGTTAAGTATATAAGGAAGGGTGGGGAGGAAAGGGGGGGAAACGGGGGTTGGAGGGCAGGGAGGGATAGGGGCGGTGAGGGACGGAACAATCGGAAGAGGAGGGTGGGGGACAAACGCGTTTGGTGGTGGGGATGGGAGTCGCGAAGTCGGAGGGAGGGAGGATGAAAGGGGGCGGAAGAGTATGGAGGGAGGATACGAGAAAGAACTGGCAACGTGTGCCACATTCAAATCTGAACGGAACCCGGGTCAGCCTCTCCGTTGAACGCCGTAAGAAAACGGCACGGAAAAGCGTGGTCGAACGCGCGAATAGAATAATTCTGCGTTCAGTAAGTTCGAACAGTGTTCGTCTATTTGGAGAATAAAATATTATTCTTCTTGATCATCATTAAATCATCCCATCTTAATAGCATGTCTTTTAAGCTCGCTCGCTCGCTCGTGTTCGCGTTCACGCAGTGAGTAAAAAAAAAATAAAAGAAAAAAAAACGTGGCGCGTCCACTTCGTCTATTCGTCCGTCCGTTCGTGAGTTCGTTTCGTTTCGTTTCGTCTCGTTCCGTTTCGTCTTGTTTCGTTTCGTTCCGTTCCGTTCCGTTCCGTTCCGTTTCGTCGTTCATTTGTTCGTTCGTGTATTCGTACGCACGCGAGTGTTATATGTACGAAAGAGATCGAGAGCGAAAGCGAGAAACACAGGATTTGAAATAAACGCGACGACGAGCAGCACGATACACCCTGGTGGATGTATGCGCGCCCTGTCTCAGAGGAAATCCTATTGGATTCTTCTTAATATTATCCTATCTCCTGTTTCTATCTCTCTGTCTCTCCCCCTCTCTTCCTCTCTTTCTTTTTTCTTTCTTTTCTTTCTTTCTTTCTTTCTTTCTTTCTTTCTTTCTTTCTTTCTTTATTTCTTTATTTCTTTCTTCCTTTCTTTCTTTCTTTCTTTCTTTCTTTCTTTCTTTCTTTCTTTCTCTCTCTCTTTCTCTAGTTTTGTTTAACTCCATATCTCACTTCTCTCTTTCGTGTCGCGTATGAATTTCGCGGTTATATGTAGACCGGCGGCCGATGTAAATGTCACGAATAATAAATAAGGGTAGTGCCTTGACCGTGGGTCGAAAGTGTCGCTCAAAGGGGCGAAATTATGTGCATGGACGTTCAGACTAACGAGAAGAAGGAGAAGATGAACGACAGGATCATCGACGAGGACGTGCAGATCGTCGAAGCCCGTGTTACAAGAGGTAAGGATTTACATTTTGAGGTTATGGGTGGCGACAGTGCCGGCGCTAGCGGCAATAGTAGTGATTACAAGCGGCAATACGCCAAACACAGCGCGGTTGGTTGTACGGCGAAACTCTGTTGACAAAGTTAACCTATTGACTATACCTTGACTCAGTTATTTAAGATCTTGTCTTTTCCATATTTCTTGTATCATCATTCTTTCTCTTCCTCTCTTTTTCCTCATGCCTTTCATACTGTACAAATTATATTATACCACTACATTGTATCGCTTATATTCTTCTGATTCTTTACCGAAACTTCTCTTAATTTTATATCGTTGATATTAATTAACGAGATATACGTCTCTCTTTTATCTGTTTTCCTTTTCTCTCTTTCGAATTCTCCTATTTCTCCTTTTGTGTTTTTCTCAAGAAAATACTTTCATTGAAATTCGTACGAAAGACCGGTACGATTGTTTTTATTCGTATCGATAGAACCTCCTCCTCTTGTGTGTACGTCTCTATGCGTATATATATGTATATATATTTACATTGAAAATCAGTGTTCTACATGCGTGCGTCGCGATCGGTTTATAATTTTATAACAAGCATTGTATCAACGACATACTTTATTTACAAAACTTGTCAATGATTTAAGTGTGTTATATGAGAAGTATATATATATACTACATATATATATATATGTAAATCAATCATTTCACGATATATATGTAGGATCACGACTGGAGCTTACGCATAATTAAACGTTGCGCGCGAGACACCTTGCGCGCGCGATACACGGCAGACGGACCACGTGGTCGAATAAAAACACAAGCCCGAATCGATCTCTTTCAAACTGAACGTTTGAAAGGATTATACATACTACCTTGGCGTTTCTTCGAACTTTATCGATGGATGGCAAATCTTCAACGAGATGGATGAATGCTTTAATATCGTT